CATACTATAAACAAATGTATTAACTTTGAAGTTATATTATCCACACATTTCTGTTAGATATGATGTAGAATGGAACTATAGGTTGGAGAATGGTCTAAATGCCTCCAACCTATAATAGTACTTTATACTTATAGGTTGGAACCATGTAGGTATTATTCTTATTTTACTCACTGCATCATCTCTCTCTTTAGCTAATTGGTCAATCAGTGTTTGCTGGTATCTTATTTCTTCTCTCTTATTTCCAATATCTTTTGTCAGCAATGAAACTTCTTTTGACATTTCCTAATAAATAATGTAAAACAAATTCAAAACAGTGTACAGTGAATCTAAACACATACATATAAAGCTTTATTGAAAGCTATTTTCATAGTGCAAATAAGCTTGGCAAATGCTATTATTATCAAAGTTACCTGAAAATATTTGTCCATATCACTATTTTCATTCTCTAATGATTCTTTTGCGTGTTGGAGCTCTAATTTTGTTTGATCAAATTCAAATTACCATATGACTAGAAATTTCTGCAGCCCAAAATTTCTGCAAATTGCCATTAAAATGGTTTTTGAATTTTATTTTTGAAATTTCTAGCTATATGATGATTGTTAATTACTAATCGATAATATTATTATTAATTATTAAAAGTATTCTTCTACGTACCTTCTTTGCTTGCCAGTAGACTTGATATCTCATTATTGTTGGCTTTTAGAGTTTCACTAAAGAAACATCAGTATCACCATACTATTTAATATTACTACACTATTTTTATCATTAATGTTATCGTTAAACTTTCTATATTTTTACTTATAATTATTATCACAGTTTCTTACCGTAGTTTTTCATTATTCTCAACCAGCAACTGGATTTGTGATAATATGTTATCCCATATCTCCGGTGTGATCTTTCCGCCAAGCTCGGAATCCTAGGAACATAACAGAAGACCTTTAGCCCATGGTAATTAATAAGACAGTATGGTATAATGGTATATCTCAAAAATTATTGTACAATGTATAATACACAATTTACGTTTTGTCCATTAGGGATAGGCATATGGCAGACAGGGGCAGGGCGTTGCTGTGGATAAGCCATATGCTGCACTGTCCTCCAATCACTGAGCAGCTTAGGGATTCACCCTAAACGACAGATCATCTTGTGTAAACGGCCATGCTAGAGCAGGAGGGGGAGGAAAGAGAAACACCTTCCGATTCAAGCATGATAATACTAAAATATTTTTTAATACCATAGATACTAAACACAAGATACCATAGAAAATACGTCATCAAGCATAAAAGCGCCCATTGTAATGGCGGAAAAAGAGGAAAGCAGCAGCTCGTGGATAGATCCCAGTCTCCTGGTTGGTCTGGGACTAGTGGCAGCTGGAGCTATTTATTACTTAGCTTCTAGAAGAGAGAGAGAAAGGATATCTGTACCTATAGATAACCAGAGCATTGAATTATCAGTAAATAATCAGCAAAATTATATAATTTTAAATCTTCTTTCTCTTTTTCTTTATTAAAGGGTGGGGTGAGGATATCAAGATATTGTGTCAATGAGGAGCTGTTGGCTTACAAGTATGAGGACTCACAGACTCTTTATGAAGCATTCATGAGAGGGAAAAGAGTATCAAGTGAGATTTGATAACTTTGGTGATCAATTTTTGCTGATAACGATTCAATAATTTTTTATTGAGAGAACTTTAAAATATTGACACATAAATTAAATAACATCAGTAATAATTAGTAGAGCAACTTTAAAACTCTGACATTAGTTAACCTGATTCTTATCAAAATGAATGGGTTTTTGCTTGTCACAGATTTCGTAACAACTGAATGAATGGGTTTTAAAGTAGACTTAAGATAACGTGTACATGTACGTGTGTTACAAATTCTTTTGCTAATTCCTTTGATCTTTACACATGCAGTATACTTTGTACATGTACATGTAGTATGTACTAAATAAGTTAAAAATTAACATTTTTATCATGAGTATGCATGTATTTAATTTAATAATGAATGTAAACTCTCTCACTCCTTTTAACCATCTTCTCCTTTAACCATCTTCTCAATCTTTAGATGATGGCCACTGCTTAGGATGGAGAGAGACAAAAACCTCGCCTTATCAATGGCTGAAATATTCAGAAGTAAATAAATAATATTTATAAATGTACGATTATAATCATTGGGATCTTTAAGGTAGAGGAAAGGTTTATGAACTTTGGATCCGGTCTCAGTAAAATTGGTGTAGCAGCAGGCCAAGAGACATTTCTGGGAGTATATTCGTCAAATTGCATTGAAGTAAAATGAGAGTCTAATCCTGCCCACCATCCACTATTCAGCTTTGTTGAAAGAAACTTTGTGGTTACTTTGTTCTTATGGCAACACTGTTCCCTAAAATAGAACTGAGTTCTATTTTAGGTAACAGAGTTGCCATAATATCAAAGTAACCGCAAAGTTGAATAGAGGATGGTAGGCTTAATCTTTGTAGTGTCTGCTATTCTGCACACTCCTTCATTCATTTACTCATTGACACATTCACCTATTGACCGTGTGTCTTTGTCTGTTACCAATGGCATCTGTTAGTGTGTTTTTAATGTAGTGGACGATTACTGAACAAAGCTGTCATGCTTATTCACGTATTGTTGTGGCACTGTATGATACACTTGGACCAGAGGCTGTGGCACACATCATTAATCAAGGTACCCATTGAAGAACCTTTCAGTATCACTTCAAACCTCTCCGTCTCTCTCCCTCTCTCTCTCTCTTCCTCCCTCCCTCCGTCTCTCTCCCTTCCTCCCTCCCTCTCTCTCTCTTTATAGCTACCATAGAGTGTATTGTCTGTCACTCATC